TGGCAGCTCGGTTCGCATCATACTTGTAGGTTAGCTCAGGTGTTTCAATCCAGCCGTGGTAGATTGGGCGATACTCGAGGACGCCGCGAAACTCGCAGAAACCACTGAACACAAGTTGCGTTGCCAAGGAGCTACACTACCTAACTTGACAGATATCTACTTCTGGCCTACACACTAGCATTGCTGCTGCAAGATCACCAGTTTCTATTCACGTTTCATAATGCATTGCCTTTTAAAACCCCAACTAGCTAGCCTGCAAATCTCCCCATGACCAACCCATTGCGCCCGGAACTACGATCGATGAGCGGCCATCCCATCCAAACTACCGTACATGTACGAACTCCTCACAATTCACAGCTGCGCAGTGATCAGCTGACTTCACAAGGGAAGGCCATCGAAAGGCATGTCACCCATGGCGAAACGGTGGGATTGATCATTGAATTGGGCACTTTACTGGAGCTTGGTGTTGGACACAGTTCCACTTTCCCGGCTGAGGGGGCCAACTCTCTCCGTCCCAATGTTTGTGGGGGTTATCGGTTTAGGGTAGCGGCACGGTGGACAGTCGTACTCAGAGTAGCCTTAAAATAGAATTCTATTCTTAGTTCACAGTTCCACAACCGTGACTCTTGTGCCGCACCAAAAAGTCACCATGTAAGATTGGTTGACAGCTCTGCCGCTTGCGAATGAGATCCAAAATGGCAGACGCCGCAGACTAGCAGACGGTCGCCATTCTCCTGTCCCCACATGCAAGAAGCCTTACCACAATCCTCGACCAATGTCCATGGCTTTGTCTGCTTTGGAGGTATCCCTCAGCAACCCTACCGGTACCCGAGTCTCCCACTCACATTCGAGTTGGAATGAACTCCCATTCTGGATGTTTCGTTTACAGGATCCTTCACTCAATTGCAGTACGATCTATTCAATCTACTGATGACGAATTCAAAGCGGGAAGATCTTTCAAAACAGGAGACCTGGCATCAGTTGATCTTGTCGTCGAAGCCAGCAATGGCGAGGGTCCTTTCCTGAGACTTTCCGATGGATCTGGCTGGATATTCGAGCAGAAACCAGGCAATGACACTCGCTCTGCGGAACCTGCCGTCGTTGAAACTGGATGTTGGTGCTTCTATGTCGACAACTTTCCTGCGGGAATGGCTCTGAGGAACAATCCAATGGACCAGCTTCAAGATCACAAGCAGGGTATTCCACTGCATCAGGAAATCTTGCTTCCTATGGAGAAGGTCTACTGCGACCGAAGAGTAAGGGGCCTTGCTGGCCAGCATTTTTATCGCGTCCAAGGACGACCTTATGCATCCTGGGTCTTTGACAAACGAATTAGATCGGACAAAACAGTTGTTATCATGATGCAGCCAGAGAGTCAAATCCGGGTTGGGCTCTTCGCGTTCGAAACAATCCGCAAAATTGCCATCCGATCCAAGCCTGATGTTGGCGACGATACAAAGACATCGTGGTCCGTGAAGGAGGGTGAGATTATTGTCTGTGACATTGTGCGAGAATCGCCACATCCTTACGGTAATGGACCCTTCCTGCGGCTTACGGACGGAAGTGGCTGGTTGTTTGTCAACAAGTATGGCGATGCCATGATGAGGGAAGTGCAGGTCGAACAAGGCGAATGGACTTGTAAAGTCAGGAACTTGGGAAGCAGTGTTCTGTTGAGGAAACAGCCAACTTATCGCAAAGGGAAGGCCTTCGAAGATTCGTTTCAGCCCAACCATGTGTTTCAGTGCGATCGAAGGGTTCCAGCGTCGCGGATATCCAGCGCATCCTTCTTTCGTGTCAAGGGTACACGGGGATGGATCTTTGACTACAACAAAGACGGTACAAAAATACTGGATCTCCTTTCTGGTGGACCAAGCATTAAAGTCTGCGAAAACTTGCCGACAGACCCCGCTTGGTCAGTCCTAGACGTGCGGATTTTGGCAGCTGCCATACCCGCCATTCACGAGATTGATCACAACTTTCATAGTCGTGTGATCTCATTTAGTGATCCGGATGGAGGGAGAACAAACGTGTACTACACGACAAGGACCGTGGGCACAGCACTAAATCATCCAAATCAAGGCAAAACACAGCTGTTTCGGCGCAACTGCACCAAAGAGGACCTAGCCGAGATTTTGAGAAACCCTAGAGTGCACACGGGCCGAGGTTACTATAGATTATCTAAGCGTCAGAAAGTACAATCCTCAGGAGACGAGATTGACGTAGAAGACGACTTGCGAGATCGCTTGACAGAAGCAGACGACAAGATAAGCAAGCTGATGGATAGGAAGAAGGAACTGTGCAAGTTGATTGGTGTCCACCAAGCACGTCGCGCGAAACGCAACGCACAGATGAAAGCACGACAAAAACAACACAATTCTAGGCTTCGGCTAGAACAAAAAAGACGGCAGGCGCTAGCTCAAGAAGCACTTGAAAGGGCAGAACTTACCTGCAACGTGTGTGGGAAAGAGTTTGGAAGTACTCATGCTCGCAATGATCATTTTGCAGCAGTACATCGAACTTATAACTGTGATGTTTGTGGCAAGTTCTTCAAGAACCTGAATGCGATGAACCAACACAAGAATGCGGTGGGGCATTGGTAGGTTTTCGAGACAACGATACAGATGTACATCCGAGGTTCCTCAGAAGGCGTGCCATTGTTGGTTGGGTGGGAGTTCTTGGCAGGCTACTGCTATCGCTATCGAAGACTAAGACTTGCTATTTTAAAATAGATACATTGTGGATGTAGGGCTCGTTCCGTCGCCAACCTGAAGCAAGCTGGGGTGGATGAGCACTACAAGATATATGATACAGAAATTCTGAGGAGCTAAAAGCTCGGGTGATTCGGAGCACGATGCACGGCATTTCGTTATGACAACATTGGTCCCATGCTCGTCAAGAAGAATGATATGCTCGGAGCTCAGCATCAGTTTGACGAAGCAATTTCAATCTGCAAGTCTATCATTCTTTCTCCGATTGATAAAGATTGGCTCAACCTGATTCTATGAACTAGACTATGGGGATTTGCCGTTCCATTTTGGGAACTATTATACTGTGGAGCGATGGTCAAACGCACATCGCTAGTGCGCCTACTTTCGGCACAAGCATGCACTTCGACCATGGCATTCTATGTTGCTGCGCTCGCGCCTTAGAGTCCGTTCTGTGACAAAATTTTCCACTTTGTTGTCTTATCCATCTGGCAAGCCACCAAGCAACAAGGAACTCAGACATCAGCACTTCCAAAAGCAAGATCCACAACAGTGATCCTTTTGGATGATTGAGCTTCCTTGGCAGCAACGAGATGGTCTTTTGGAAGCTAGCTAGTAGAACGTGGCTTTGGCAAAGTCACTAGCTATGGTACTACAGTGCCGAGACATGCCGTACTCCAGCCGAACAGTACTACAGGACTGTACCATACCAGTGTTGGCTGGAGCTTGAAGAAACTACAGGGACCAAGGTTTGTGTGGCATTGGCCATCTAGCTAGCTACTGCTGATTGGCACAGCAATAGTACTTGTAATCACATTTCCTTTATCAACCTTTAATCTTACTGCAATGCTAGCTGCATTTTAATGCTGTGGTGCTTTTCTTGATGGCAACAGTATCCAAATAGATGGATACACCATTCTCTTGTATGCAAACGAACAAGGAGGAATCTGATACAAGTCTGGTAACCATCTCAGTAAGGTGGTGCGTCAAGGTGTGACACCGAGCTCCTTCCCTACCAATCAAGCCAAATCAACCTGCAGCAAACCTGACAAGGCTTTCTTACACTGGACACATCATACAAGGTGACCAGTGCAAACATCTCAGCCTAACTTCACTAATGATCACTGCCTAGAAAGCTCCAGCCTCAGCAAGCTCCAAATCTCCAGCAGCCATGACATCATAGACGCAATGATCCTTTTGGTCTCCCCAGTGTTCGCAGACCTTCTCAGCAGCTGTCTGGGCAATCGATTCACCAAGACGGCGGCCCACCTGTTTCAAACTAGGCACATTACAAGTGACCGGGTGCTGTGGAAACCTGTTGCTTTGGAAGAGCTTGGGCTCGCTCTCAAGAACCTGCCATTCATTTCCAAAGGCATTAGCATCTGTAAGGGCAGTTCCATTGCGGGCAAGCCACTTGCCAGTCTTGTAGTCTCCCAAAAGACCCTTGCTATTTTCATACTCCAAAGGGGTGGCACCAACTGTCTTGATGCTTAGAAGGTCCTTGAAGGATTGGAGGACAATCTGCTTGCCCCGGCCAAGCTCAATCACAAACATATCCTGCTTGGAGCTCTTCTTCTCGTGCTTGATGGAGTATTTGTCAAATGTGTCCAGCTCAGCATTGGAGATTCCATTCACCATGTAAGCACCATATTCGCCAACCTCCAAAGTGTCCTCTCCAATGCGCACAGCAGCAGACTCAATGTAAGAATACTGGTTGCGTGCCTTTGTCCTAATGTGGATGTCCAAGCCAGTTCCCTCATCAAACTCAGGGCTGCTGATAAAGATCAAGTCACACTCTCCATGGAAGTCATACCATTCATTCACCCATGTCTAAATACAAATGGAAGAGACAACACTTGCTTGATAAGTCCAAACAAAATTTTCATCAACTGGGCTGATTGTGGCCTACTGAGTCGTACCTTGAAGTGTGGGTCTCCCATACCATAAGCAGCTCGAAGCTGGGCTTCCGTATAACCCAGGGAAATGTGCAACGTGTATGTGGCAGAATTTGGAATGACCTGGTTTGAACCATTGCGACGTCGACTCACAGCAATGGTGTATATGCCAGCAGTATTGAATGTGTAGGTCAAGTAGGCATCACGACGCCTACTTGAGCCATCATCAGGAGGTCTGTTGTTGTTATTTTGCGCAAGCTGGGTGCCACTTGAGTCATACAGAGTGAGAAATGAATTAAAGCTTGTAGGATCATCAATGTCAAAGATGGAAGCAATCATTCCTGCCCGGACCTCAAATGAGAAATAGTCATAAGAACCATCCCCGGTACCTTCAATGGTTACCCAAGGAAGTGTAGCAGAGTTTGCAATAATAGGATTGTACCCAAGAGTGAAGGCACCAACAGGGATTACCTGCAAAGTCCAAATAGAAGTTCAATGTGAGTGGAAGAACATATAATTTTGAATTGATGTCAAAATGAGAACAAACCTGAGCAGAGCCAATGTCGTTGTTGGATTCTTGTTCTTGAATGACAGAAGCCTGAGCCACTGACATGAGAGCCACAAATCCAGTTATGATTGAGGACAACTTCATGGTTGCAAATAATGGGAAGATGAACAAGATTGGAAATCTGAGGCCTTGTGCATGGCTTCCTTCTGGAGATTGTGAGTTGAGAGAAGGATAGCTGAAGGGAGCCGAGGTTGATGTTGGATCGATTGGGTAAAACGCAACCGGTTCATTCTCTGAGCAATGAGTCACGCTTGGTGATAGCTAGTGTAAAGGGCTACTATATTTTTTTTAATAATGCTGCAGCACAATACAATACAGCGTGCTCGTCCTGTATTGCATTCCGAAAGTTTCCTGGGAAGGCTAAAGCCCTGGATGGCGACCATCTTATTCTAGACTTTTTGGGGTATATCTCATAACTCTAATTTGTTGCTAGATTTTCGATACTAGTTTGAACCTTTCTGAGAAACTGAAAGTTCTATGTCACAAAACATAACACGTGACACGAATTGCGAACCAAGCTTTAATATGCAAGTCACAAACGTTCCAGGCAACCTATTAATAGTACTCGTACTAGTAGTAAAATATTTAGGCCACTCGCGGCTCGTGACTTACTTTGACCATTTATCTTTACACCTAGTCGGACCATAATCTATCTTTACCTAGTGATAAAATCGTGAATGATTTGAATTACTACCAGGTACTCCTAGATACTTAGTAGTGGTATTCGAATGAACCAGTACCTGCCGGAATTTTTGAAGGTCACTTACACTCCAAACTCAATAATAAGAAAGCTCTAACTGGGAGTCAGTACTCGAGCTTTCTAACCCAACTGCTCTATTTTGCTACTCGTTTTATTTCTAAGAAAACAAGCCAATTTCAGTATAGATGACTTTCTTACTAAGCTTCTAGGGTAGCGTTTGGTTACACCCAGTGCACCTGGGCCTTTGGGTCCAACTTGCTCAGGACTCGTAAATTGGGTTGGGTGAAAAAGAGATGGTGATCACATTGTCTGTCGCGAGGCAGAAAATTTTGCAGTTTTAGGCACATGTTAGGAGAATTTTCATGGTCTCAGCTGCAGACTAGTATTATTTCTTGTGCTTTGAGGTATCAATACTGGGAGGTTTTCTTACAAGTCTGTGATATTTCAGTATAAAAAGATTCTTATCTTTTTCTAAAATCTGAGTACTCGCTTTCTTATTTGGAGTTTCTTACCTTCAGGTTTGGAGTGTGTTTTTCTGAGAGGGCTTTAGTAATAGTAGCTTTTGGAGAAGTTTCGCTATTACATGTAGTGACTCGATTCCGGGACTGTCCGGCGTTTTTCACTTGGGCTTTTTTAAATGTCACTCGTTGAAACTAATACTATTAAATACTTGGTACTTTTTTTAATTTCACTGACTCCTACTTAAATAGAGAGCTGCACCCAGTGAATCTCTTTGCCGCCAAAATAGTACGTACACTCCTCCACTGGACGAATCGAATCGAATCGAATCGAATCGAATCGAATCGAATCGAATCGAATCGAATCGAATCGAATCGAATCGAATCGAATCGAATCGAATCTCATCAGCAGAATTCCTACTCATACTGACGCTGCTTGGCTACCGTACGCGCGCTTGGGTACCACACTAACTAGCCGTAAACGGTGGAGAGATGCCAACGTCCGGTGACGTGGGAACGGTAAAAATAAATGTGACTGGCCTAACTAAATAAATTGATTCACCGTACGGTAGGGTACCGTACGGTACCCCGAGCGCTCCTGTGCCGTCCAGGCGAGCTGCCAATCATCACACGCAAACTGCACCAACTGCAACATTACAATCTTGATTCCTAAAGGAAGTTCTTTGCCATGCCTTCCTGCTACTGTTTTCGATGGTGCTGCTGCTGTTGCTGCTGTCGCCCCAAACAACAAGAGATAAGAGATGGAGGATCATCAGTAGATAAGAAGAAGATAACATCCTCTCGCCGTTGTGATTTGGTTCGCTTCTTGCTGCTTTTGATCTTCCTTCGCATCTTGCTGTTGACCAGCGACCATACTTTTTTCTACGACGTGAACGAAGAACGACGATGTGACCTCCTTCTCAATAGACCTACAGCAATTCAATCTGCCATCAGCAGAATGCGCAAAAGCTCAGTTGCACAGCTGGCTTCTCCTGGCCAACAGCGTCAAATGGATTACGATCAAATTGCCATCGACAGATACCACAACGCCCTGGAACTGATATCAAAAAATGAAACCATTCGATCTCGCATAGACCCTCTACTCACCAGGAACAAGATTGTCCGAGTTCCTTTTCACCCAACAGTAGAGTATTTGGGAGTTCTGGTGGATGGTGGACGCCACTATTTTCCGATGGACTGGTTGAAGGAGCTGATTGTGTACCTTCACCAACTACGCTACAACATGATTCATCTGAGACTGACAGATGATCAAGCATTCAATCTACAACTGGTCTCTCATCCTGAGCTAGCAAATCCCTCAGCCACCAGTATTGACCCAAACAATAAAACGGACAGAGGAAAGTTCTACACTGCGGACGAACTGCGAGAGCTAGTGGCATTTGCCAAGGAGCATGATATTGACATTATCCCCGAAATCAATGTGCCGGGACATGCTGGAGCATGGACTGGCATTCCAAACATGACTGTTCCTTGTGCACTATTCATCTGCAACAAAGGCTATGGAATTCCCCTCAACATTCACCATCCCCAAATAAAAAAAATACTAAAGGACATTTTGGGGGAAGTGATTGACATCTTTGACAATCCACCGTTTCTTCACCTTGGAGGTGATGAAGTCAACATGGCAAAAGAATGCTTTGCAGAGGCAGGAATGCAACCATTTGAGTATGGATCCTTTGAACGAATGCTGCAAGAGATTTTGGCAGAACTTGGTTTTCCGGAGGATCGCGTGGTCCGATGGGAGGAAACACCACAGCTTTCCAATGACTTTGATGCTAGCAGACCACGTCCGTCCTTTCGAGCGGGTGACATGGAACATTACTGGCATGATCCTCCGGGAATACGAACAGGACTTGGTGGTATGGTCATGGATTCCATATCCAAACCTCCCAGCAAGCCTTTTTTCGTCTCTCGCAAGCTCTACATGGATACAAACCATGACAGCGGCGCCATTCAGGTATACAACGCCACGGTCGACAATCTACAGCTTGACAAGGGACCCGCCTACTTTCCACTGGGCGTGATAGCTGGAGCATTTGAGTTGGATCCCAACACATGGGTGCATCGCAATGTGGCTGCCCGGCTCATTGCCGTGGCCATGGGGGCAGCACAGCTGGACCTGAATAGTACTATGGAAGTTCTTGCCTTTTATAACCACACCTGCCGCGAAACTTTGGAATTAGACCCAGTACTGTGTGATCTTCAGGGCTACACTGCTGCTACGTTGTACGACTACCGCAACACCTGGCAATTAGGACAGAATCTGTGTCGCAGCAGCATGTGTGAGAGATTGACCAAGCAGGTGCGAACGCCCTCTATGAGGCCCAAGGGGAATCGCCGAGACA